GTATGAGTTTATTTCCATGACATGTCCACAATAGGTAAATCTACAGACACATACAACAAATTAGTGGTTGCCTAGGCCTGGAGAGGATGGAGTGATTAGGGGATGATATCTAATGGGTATTGGGCTTATTTGGGGGGTGAGAAAAAGGTTCTAAAATTGACTGTAGTGATGGTTACACAACTCTGCAAATATACTAGAAACCATTGAATTGTATATTTTAAATGAGTGAACTATGTGTTATATAAGTTATATCTCAATAAAAAGAAGTACTGAGCATTTGCAATGTTCCTCCATTCTAGGATAGAGAAGTGAACAAAATATAAAATCCTTGCTTCCATGGATCTTACATTCTAGTTGGCTGAAGGGACAAATACTAACCATAATAAATGAAGTAATACGTTAGAAGGTGATACATGCTATGGTTAAAAACATGGAGCATGCCATGGAGGATGACACACGCTGGGGGATGGGGTTGTAAGGTGTCCTAGGGTTTGGAAGGTGTTCATTGAACAATGACTTGGTGAAGGGAGTGAGATGTGCGCATGTCCTGGAGGAAGATATTTCAATGCAGAGGAAACAGCCAGTGCAAAGGGACTGAGGTTGGAACATACCTGCTTTATTCAAGGAAGGTGGCCAGTGTGACTGGAACAGGGTAGTGAGAAAAAAGAATAGTAGGAAGTGAAATAAAGGGAAATGATGTGGCCAAATCATGTACAGTTTTGTAAGCCTTTAAAAAATTTCTGGCTTTTGCCCTCAGGGCAATGGGGGTCACCCATGGGATTTTAGAAGAAAACTGATTTAATCTGATCTGCATTTTGAAATGATCACACTGGCTGCCAAGCTGAGAGGAGACCTGGGGGATAAGCAACAAACACAGAGGCAGGGAAACCTGTGAGGAGGTTTTTGTAGTAATCCAAGAAAGGGATGATGGCTTGGCCCAGCTGGTAGCAGTGGAGGTAGTGAAAGTGGTCAGATTCTGAATATATGTTGAAGGTGCAGTACAGAAGTTCCTGGATGGACTGGACATGGATGTCAGAGCAAAGAACAGCATCAAGGTGCTGCAAGGTTTTTTGGCCTGGGCTAACAGGAGGATGGAGCTGCCATTAAGCATACCAGGAACACTTGAGTGAAAGAGGTTTTGTGGGGAAGATCAGGAGTTTGCATGTGCTGCATCTGAGACGACTTTCAGACATACAAGGGGAGATGCCAAGGTGTGAGTGAAGACAAAAGAGAAGTAGCTCAAAGGTTGAAATCCTGGGCATTTCAACATTAAGAGATTGGGGAGAAAATGAAAAATCAACGAAGTCCAAGAAGGACTGACCACTGGGGATGGAGGAAGACCAGGGAGAGTGAAGTCTTGGGAACAAGCAGAGAAGCAGTGATGGGGGGATGGAGTGATCAGTGATCGATTGCCTCAAGTGCCCCCAATAGCGAGTGCAGGGAGAATGCAAAACTACGGACTTGGCCACGTGGAGGTGAAATCCGACAAGAGGAGTTTTGGTGGAGTGCGAGGACCAAAGCCTGTCTGGAGTGAGTTGGAGAGGATGGAGAGAGAGAGTACAGGTTACTGTTCTGAAGTGTTTCACTGGAGATGAGTGCAGAGAAATGGTGCAGTAGCTGAGGTGTGGGCAGGGCCAGATGTTTGTTGGTTTTTTGTTTGTTTGTTTTTTAAATAGGAGAGCGTGTTTGAATGCTAGTGGGAATGATCTAGTAATGAACTAGACAAGAGGAAAAAGCTGTTGATGACAGAGAGGGGAGAATTGCTCTAGAACCATCCTTAAGGAAGNGGTTACTGTTCTGAAGTGTTTCACTGGAGATGAGTGCAGAGAAATGGTGCAGTAGCTGAGGGGTGGGCAGGGCCAGATGTTTGTTGGTTTTTTGTTTGTTTGTTTTTTAAATAGGAGAGCGTGTTTGAATGCTAGTGGGAATGATCTAGTAATGAACTAGACAAGAGGAAAAAGCTGTTGATGACAGAGAGGGGAGAATTGCTCTAGAACCATCCTTAAGGAAGTGAAGGGGGATAGAAACTAGCACACAACCCACGTGGTTGGCCTTACATAAAAGTGTCCATTGTCCCACTTACAGCAGCAGGAGGGAGGACAGATGTTGGTAGGTGATAGACGTGGTTTTGGGAGTTCATACATTGTCACACATTAATAATATCAAATATCTCTCTATATCATTGAATGCTTCTGAATTTTATGCTATTCTAGCTTTCTATTTCCCCTAAAGAAGTATTTTGCTGTAATTATTGTGGTTTTAGTGTGTATTTTAGTATCTTGAAGGGCAAGTATCTCTTACTGCTCTACTTCAAAATTATCTTGGCTCTTCTTAAACACATATTCTTCTAAAGGACTTTGGAATTACTGGATCAAGTAAAAATATGATCCCCTTTGGAGTTTTTTTTTACTTGAATTGAGTTAAATTTATTTACTAAATGGAAGAGAATTAATGCATTTAGAATATGGAGTTTTCATTTCTGGGACTATGTTAAGGTGAGCTGACTCTTGTTTTATTTAAGAGTTCTTTCCAAGGTTACCTTAAATAGTCAACAAGTCATCAATAAATGATATGCATGGCTTACAGTTTTTAAAAATCAGACGTCAGTCATTTGCTGACTGGCTTATTTATAAACCCTTAGAATCTCCAGGATACTCAAGACAAACCGACAGGTTGAAGACACACANACCTTAAATAGTCAACAAGTCATCAATAAATGATATGCATGGCTTACAGTTTTTAAAAATCACACGTCAGTCATTTGCTGACTGGCTTATTTATAAACCCTTAGAATCTCCAGGATACTCAAGACAAACCGACAGGTTGAAGACACACAAGAGGTAGTTAGTTACCTACAGACAAGAAGAGCTCTACAGAACATCCCATATACTGAGAAGAAGCAACAGGAGTTGCTTCTTGTGAGGGCATGACTAGGGGAAATTGATGAAAAAAGGTAATATTAATTGCAAATTCAGCTCCTCCCAGGACCTGGTACATCTTTGTAGAGCTGTGATTGTCTTTCCACTTTGCTGCAAGTGGATCTAGAAGTAATAGAAGATAAGCAGTTCAGAAATGGAAAACTGGGGCCGAGCCCGTGGCACACTCGGGAGAGTGCCATGCTGGGAGCAAAGCGACGCTCCCACCGCAGGTTCAGATCCTATGTAGGAATGGCCCGTGTACTCACTGGCTGAGTGCGATGTGGGCGACACCACACCAAGGGTTGTGATCCCCTTACCGGTCACGAAAAAGACAAAAAAAAAAAAAAAAAGGAAAACTGTGATCCTGTAAGGATGAACATTTGTTATGTTTATGCAGCACTTTCTGCCAGGTATCTTAGAGACAGAAAGCTCTCTTTTAGAGGGATGTCATTTATGTAATTTGGAATTATTTTCTTCCTTTAGTATAGTTATGCCCAGAGATGAGTAGGAGAGTAAGCTGGTCATGTTTTAGGGTCTGTTTCTCAGTTTTCATGGTGCCTATGTACTAAAGAGAAAAGCAGAGAGAGTTGTGAAAACAGACATGGGGCTCCTTGGGGTAAGTGTGGGGACACAGTAAAACATGGGCCCCCAGTTAAAATAAATATACTTTTAGCATATATCATCATAAATTATCATTTTGCTTTGGTAATATGTTTAGCAGGTTTGGATAAATCAATTTTATTTATTTTATTTTTATGACCTCTTAAAAATAAAATTTGATTTTCATGGAACCCCATGCTTGAAATTTTAAGTAAGCAGGAAAATATTAATCAATCAGTGGGGAACTTCCCAGAAGAACCTACATGTAATTAAATTGCCAGATGAGCAATTAAAGACCAATTTTAAAACTAAATTTGAAAAGGCAAATTCCAATGTAAAAAATGTAAAATGATTAGTAGCCTAAGTTTATACTGCTAATACTATTACATGCCACAAAGTGAAGAAAAATTATAACAATAAGTTCAATAGCTTTGATGCCAGAAAGTCAGTGAATTTTCCTTATAATTTTAGAGAGAATTAGAATACTTTATTAATGACTGAGAATGCAGAAAGGACTGCAAAAGAGGATAGTTGTCAATCTGAAGTAGTCACTAGGCAAACCAAGAAGACTCAAGTTTGGAGGAGATGAGACAGAAAAAAAGGTAAGAGAAGAATTAGAGAACTGACACTTTTGAAATTCACAATGCAGTAAGAATTGGACAAAATTAGCAGACTGCTTTATCCTCTTATATAAAAGCATATACTT